TTATTTACGTTTAAAAATTAAATAATTTTTAAAACATTTTGCAATTTGTTTTTTCGAATTTTATAAATCAAGTTCAATGAATTATTTTAGTATAAAGACAAACATTTATTATAAGGACAAACATTTTATAGCAATAAGAAAAAGATCGTAAATTTGTTTTAAACAAAAATTATTATTATACATTTTTAATTAATTATTTTAATTACAGACGAAGTCATCGGTTTTTTGTTTTAAACTTGTGTATAACAGAAAGAAAGTATTTTAATTTTGTTATATTTCTAATAATATATATAATACTCTAATAAATTAAATAAATTTATTAAAAATAATAAATTAATAGTGTTTAATAAAATACTTAGTGTGAAATAGAAGTTTTCTTTAATCACATAGTGAAGTAAATTTCATAAAAATTTAGGAATAAATATCTTAAAAAAATCAGATAAAGAAATATTCATTTTATACCCTAAATAAATTATGACATCAGCAAAATATCAATTATTAATACCACGTTTGCATTTTGTGATCTTTCGAAGCACGAAGCAAAAAGATCACATTTAATCGCGTAGATAAATGTCGGTTGTAGGCAACACGTGGAAATCTGAATTTGATGTATTTTTGCATTCAGTCGTTCATTAAAATGCACGGGTCCCACATCAATTTCATAATATTTAAATTTAATTGCCAGAGCCGGTTTAAAATTGCGTAACAAATTGCAGATAAATAAAAATAACTCAATCTATCTCTCGTCGACGAAAGATAATATAAATCTAATAAAAAAAAAAAAAAGATAATACAAAATAACATAAATAACTAAATATTCTTTGTAAAATATTTTATATTTTAACTTATTAATATATTTAATGTATGCACTTAGATACTAAAGGGAAAGATAATAAAATTATATTTTCTAAATTATAAATTTTTTTATTCTTTTTTAATAATATATACCGAAATGTTATGTTTCTAGATTTGCTTTACGGTAGCTCTAGCAGCGCCGGCTGATAAGCAGAAAAGGGATATCCTGCCGGGCGACCCACGATATGGAACCGAGCATCACCCTCATCATCACGAGCAGAACCCTCAAGAAAACGAGGTACAAGTCTTGAAAGCCGCCGGCGGTTACGTAGGTTCTTTCACGGTCCCAGACGACACAGTGGATCACTCGTTGCAGGTACAATCTGAACAGTATGGCCCGCCCAACCATACACCCGGCAAGCCTTTGGGAAGTGAGCCCTTCGTAACCGGTGATGAGAAAATTTCTGTTCCTCTTCAGGTGCCAGCCACTTCCTATGGAATACCCGACATCACTCAGGTAATAAGAAAACTTACCGAAATCGTTTAGCTATTCTGGATTATTTGAAATGTGATTTTGATAAAAAGAACAACAATTATAAAGTTGTTTCTTTTCACAGTAAAATTTAGAATATTCCAATAAAGGTATAGTATAAAAATTTATTTTCTAATGAAGAATTGTTGTATTGAGATTTGCTTTTCTATCGTAGATTGGTATCAGCAACCTTCTTTCGCCCATCAGCGATGACAAGAAATCTTCTCTTCTCAAGGTATGTACATTGATCATGTCATTCATGTGAATAATAACTTCATATAAATGAATTCGCAAGATACTAGCCTTTTTCTCATTCTGTTAATATTAATATCGTTCAAAATAATCAGCAAGTCTCAATAATTTATCATGCTTATCGAATTACTCATTGAAATGTAATCAATTATGAGAGAGTGTAAAGTATTTTGACAATCAAGAAAAGTCATAAATAATAAGTCAAAAAAATGTAACTGTGAATTTGCATTTAATATCAAACTTTTCCTCATTTTTTTAAATATTAAGAATAATGTATATAAAATAGAGAATTTTAATCGTCGTTAGCATAATAATAATTTGTAAAGAATAATAATTTGTTGAAACATTAAATTATGTTTTTAATTATAAATTTAATTGTATAATACTTAAATTTAAAAAGGGAATAAATATTTTTAAATATATATTCTTAAATATATTCTAAAAGGAAATTATAATATTTTTAATTATTATAATTTATATGCTAGTTTAGTCAAAAAATATTTATAGACACAATATTAATTAATTACAATTTAACTAGAATTTATTTTAATTAGAATTTTGAATATTTTTTCATCGTATATTGATTAAAGACTACGATACTTGATTCGAATACCAATTATCATCGGTTCAAGCATCATTTATTTCTTATGCTAAGATAGGCATTAATTCGTTGATAATATTTAAAATAGTTAAAAATTAAGCAATTATGAAATAAATTAAATAAAAGGAGATAAAATGTTATTAATAAAATCAATTATGAATAAGTTGTAGTATTATTGAAACACTTACTGAAACATTTATTGAAACAATCTCTGTACGTTTATAGTTTGCTACTTTCTATTTTCAGCATGAGGAACTTATTTCTTTCCCACAAACTTCATACGGAACTCCTGTGGTGAAGGTGCGGCTATTCATTTAAATGGATCATTTGTTAACAATACTTAGTCATATCTATCATATTTATCACTTTTGTATTTTTTTCTTTTATTTTTTCTATTACTACTATCGCTGTAATCTCTAATATTTTCTTATTTTCTTATTTTTATTTCTTATTTTCTATACTAGAATTTGATTTTCGGACATATCAACGGAAATTTGCATTTTATCCTTTCAACGCCTTAATTATCAATATACTTATTATTCACATATTTATACTTTAATCGACGCAAAACGTACAAAAAGTTAAATGAACAACGTAATGTCAAATTTTCCATAGACGACTCTCCCAGAGGAGCCGAAATTCGATATCGTGCACACGCAAAAAACTGTGATCCCTGAGATCCATCACGAGGTCCACAACGTGCAGCAACCAGCGGTTCTTCATAAGCACGTGGATACTGTTCCACAAACTGTCACTCTTCCGCGGGTGAAGGTGACAACATCTCATGTGCCTACCGAGATCCAAGGTGAGCGTCGCTTTATTAAGAATTTACGACTTCCTCCGATCGCGCCGCGCCCGTCGACAATTTACAACTTCTCTCCTAAATCTACACTAGGACTTGTAAAGTAACTGTGAATATCATTTACTCCATTACGTAAGATATTCCAAAGTTTTCATAAATTCGACGGTTGAAACTTCTTTTGCCTGATTGAGACCGGTCGCAAGAGCCACATACAAAACGTTCTAACACTTGACTAATGTCGAGATGACATATGAAAACATTCGTCACGTGTCGTGATCTAAGTAGTTTGCTCGCCTTTCATTGTTGATAGATGCAAATGTATGCTGGAAATATGAATATTTATTGTATATTCGGAGACCGAGAAAGAGAGAGTTTCTTTAATTTCATAATTTTTAACTGTTTGATCAAAAAGAAATCATAGTACATTTTTAAAAAATTTTACAGTATGTATTTAGTGTGAAATGTAAACTTGTGCAATCAAACTTGAAATAAATTATTTAAAAAATTTTCAGAACTGAATTAATAAGTAATACAACAAATATATTGAGATAATTTATTTAAGTTTGAGTTAGTTATATTTATTTAATTAGTTAGTTACATTTTTTATTAATCATTATTTAATCAAAAATTTGTTTGTTGCTGTACATTACATTTTCTAATTTTTAAAATAGTGGTTGCTGATAATTAATTTCTTTTAATATCATAAAAAAAAGTTAAGTTATATTAAATAAAATAATAATATTTCCGTATAAAAAAACAGATTAAATAAATGCTTTGGAAATGTAGAAGATATTTTTTTCTGTTTTAGGGAAGACTCTGTACACCTATCCCACAAGCTATGCGTACCCTACGTACAACATCCCCATAAAAACTGTGGATCACCACGTACGAGTGCACGTACCCCACCCGTACCAAGTCCCGGTAACCAAGCACGTTGCGTACCCCGTTGCCGTTCCACAGACTGTCGAAGTTCCTAAGCCCTACTACGTCCGCGTGCCCCAGCCTGTTCAGGTCACCGTGGATCGTCCATACCCAGTGGAAGTGCCCCGTCCGGTGCCATACCCCGTTCCCCATTATGTAAAAACGAGTGTTCCGGCTACTCATTCGCATCACATAACCACGTTGGACACTAAGGCCATTCCATTCCAGGGCTTCTTCGACAACACTCAAACGTCGTTCCAGAACGTGTTTGGAAATCTGCCGACTTTCGGCAATCCTCTGGAAGGCTTTTCGAATCCCTTCGAAAACTTGGATCTGTCATCCATCCCAGGCATCTCCTCTTTGCCTTTCCCCTTACCGCCGTTCTTCCCGTCGCAGGGTCAAAATACGGATACGGCACCGATTCATGTCGAGTCATCACCAGCTGTCGCGACCAACAGCGATACGGTTACAGTCGAGAATCCAGCGCTGAAGAGTGAAACCACAGTTACCAAAACCTCCGTCGTGCAACCAATCGCGCATCACACCAAGACGTCATCCCAAGTGTATAAGCCTTCCACTGCGTGCGCCGGATGTACCGTGACCGCCGCCAGCAACAAGCAGGAATATGTGCAAGCCACTGATGCCAATGGTGGTTACGTCTACTAGAATATTTATCTTATAATGAACACTAAATAGGTTACTGGAATTCCTTAGTAAAACTACACGTTACGCGAAAGAATTATTGAACGTGACAATTTATTTCTAAACAATCGGATTAATCAAAAAGTTGATTCCCTTTTTCTTTTTATTTTATTAATATATAATTCTTGAGTGCATAAAGGAGAAATGTTTAAAAACATATGATAATTATTTTCCTAACAATATTTATAATATTTGTAATTAAATAAAAACTAGGAACTTAGAAAGATATTTCTAAACATCGATGAGATACTTAAAGACGATCAGCTCTTGATAAATTTTTGTGATTATTAACTGGATCTGGTGAGTCTAAAAATAAATGAAAAGTGACATATTGATTTTTTCAATTGTTAATATAAATATCTAAATAGCCAACAATTTAAATTGTTAAATCATTTATAAGTAATCTTGTTGGTCCGAATAATTTTTCCAGAAAAATGTTAAGATATACCTTTAAATGGCACTTTGTTTAAATTTATTAAAGTTATATATATATTTCTATTTTTTAATTTTTCACTCTAATTAGAAAATACGTATCCAAGAATTAAATAGTTTTTAACTTTACTTAATATTTAAATAAATAAATTTTCAAAAATGTTAATTTTATAGTTTCTTTAAATTTTTATTACAAAATTCTTTTAATTTATCATTGTATTTGTTACAGCTTCTTATATTTGATCATATTCAATTACTTTGTTTTAATTTATCTAATTTTAATTTATTTTTTGGATTTATTCTTTTATAAGAGTAATTCTTTATGCAATATTTTTATATAGTAATAAAATGGAAAACAGAAACTTTTTAATTAATCCGATATTTTGTCTTGATCAAAAACAAATATAAATGAGTATTCCTGCGACATTAAGAGAGAAAGAGAAAAGAAAGAGAGATACTTAATAATTAACTTAAAATATCTACAACATACTTGTATAATTTTATATTCTACAATTAGATCAACATAAGATTTAAAAAACTTTTTTCTTAAACATTTAAAAATTGAAAAGATATTTACCAAGAGCAAAAGGATTAGGATTTAGAGAATATCTTTTGTACGTAAATAAAGTTCTTTTATTACAAACATTATGAATTATTCTTTGATTTCTCTTTGATGATAATAAGGTGCCTCCAATGTAAATGCGAAAGATCTTACAAAGATATTATAAAAACAATTCGCCACATACTTATGTGACAATTAGATAACAATAATTAAAGCGTTTACAACTCATGCATTAAATTCCATAAATAAATATATATCAATTTCTACCAATTTAAATTTAAAATAAAAAAAAGTGTATAAAAATTCTTATCTATTAGGTATTGTTACTTCATGGGATATAAAATTGTTTTAAATAATATTGAATCGTTAATGTTTTATACGTGAATTCTTATTGGTTTTATATCACAAATTTTTAAATATTTGATTAATCAATGATATCAATGATAAATAATGAAGCACCAAGTTTTTTATCAATTCAAAACACAATTATTTTACCACAGATGACATTTTCTTGAAGGATTCATGTTCGATCCTACGGGACAATTCCATACGGTATTAAATTCTTTGGAATTTTTTAATGCAGCTTTAAGTCTCACGTGACCAGGGCAATGAGAATCTTCCATCATCCACTTCAGTGATGTAGGAGTATAAGATTCGCACCACAACTGAAATAGTAAAACAATTTAATAAATAGTAAATATTTATTTATAAATTCATTAAAAATAATGTGCAAAGAATTTGAAGTTTGATAAGAAATAAATAAATTAATTAAAAGTATAAGTAAAAGTCATATAATTATGCAAACGAAGAGTTTTAATGCTAGGATTTAAGTAATGATAATGGAATTCAGATGAGTCAACGATAATAAATACCAATCACAATTTATTACTACTGATCTTGTCTCGTCTTCACTTTTGATTTATTTTAAATAAATAATCAAGACGTATTTAAATGAATGCCATTTTTTTCAGTGAAGGCCGTCTGCTATAAAGCGAGATTTCATTCTATTCTTATAGCGATAAATAAAAAAACGAGCAGACTTAAACTCAGGTATAACCGGTGATTAGCAAATCATCGAGGAATTTTACCTAAAAATATACTATTATTCAATAATTTAAATAAGACAAGCCTGGAAATTTCCACCGGACTTTTCTTTTCTTACTATTTAAAGAAAACAATCATTTTCTAATAAAATGTTTTTTAATAAAAGTTTTATGACACCTAGAATTGATTTTTTTTCCACAAGAATAATGGGAAAAATACAACTAATAGAAATTAATATATAAACGCTAAATATAAGTTAAAATATTTGTTTCATTAATTTCATGATTTTTCATTTTGTTAAATATTTCAATTATTGTACGATTTTATGTTTGAACGTTTGAAAACATCTTAAATTCGAGAAGTTTAATTCAGATATAATTAAGTCTTTAACGGTTACAAGTTGATTATTGTTTCGTAACTTTAGATTCTTGACTTACGTGCGCGAAGGAGAGGAAGAATAACTGCTCGTGCGTGAACTCCGTGAATCCCGGAAGTAGAGGCTCCTGACCGTGTCGGGCCTTCCATCTTTCATAAGCGATGATGGCCTCACGAAGGCCGCCATTATCGGCGATATTCTCATCCAAGGTCAATTCGCCATCGATGTAATCGTCAATCTATGCAAGATGTATCCTTAACGATATGTTCGGGTTGTTCAACTCTTAGACGACTCTTATATAAGTTCTTTTATCAATTCTTAGACACAATTAAGATAATTTATATAAGACGCATGTAAATAATTCAAAAAAATATTATCGTAATAAAATTAAATTTTTAAATCAAAGTTAAGAATAGGATTCTTATAAATATTTAATTATTTAACATTTGAACTAATTGATTCTATTTTGTCATGTTTTAAGTCTTTTTTAAATTAAATTTTAACAGTGTTGAACTTTTTAATATCGAATAATTTATATTAAATATTCAAAAATCAAATGTTATATTTGTATACTTGCCTCATCCTCGTAATAAGTGTTATAGTGATCTATAAAGCACTGGGTTTTCTCAGAATATTCTGAGATAGTTTCATTAGTCCACCATTGCCGGACATTTCCGTTACTGTCATAATGTCGACCACTATTATCAAATCCATGAGTTAATTCATGTCCCAATACTGTGCCAATAGCGCCATAATTTAAGGCTCTGCAATTATTTATAAAATTGTTGGCAAACTCTTTTTTTTTCATTTAGTAGATAATAATTGTGATTTTTATAATAATCCAACAAAAAATTTATATGTTATACTGTTTATTTTCTACTTTTATCTTTTATTTGCTTTTATATTCTCTATTATTTTTTATTCTTATAAAGATAATTATAAAATAACTATTCTTATTCTTACTCAAGACCCAATTCATAAAATGGAAATTGAAGAATCGCGGCAGGTATGGCTGCGTGCAAATAGTGGAAGAAGAGAATACATGTTAACGTAACATTAATAAAATAGTAATATATTTATATCAATTTGGGCTTGTTGTAAATAATCAAGGATTAAAGTTACTACGTACTTATATGATTAAGTTGAAAAGTATGGAATGCGTTTACGTCAGTAGGATCTGTAGCCCAGCTGATCATCCATAATAGAATGAAGCATAAAAAAAGGAGAACTTCAGCATTGATTTTTACTGATAATAATTCGTGATATTTTCACTTACTATGATTCATTATAAAAATTATCGTCGTGCAAGCTCTTCCACATATTATTCCATTGCAATTGAACGATTTGTATCATGTTCTCCAAATATGTTACTTCCGACATGTTGATCTGAATATTAACAAATGGATATTATGCAAAATACGTTACCAATGTTATAACATTATTACATAAATTAAAATAAAATAAGTATATATATATATATATATATATATATATATATATATATATATATATATATATAT